GTCTCGCCTACGCCATAAATGACGCAAGTTGGTAAAAGCTAGTCGAGCCTTCTGTATCCGTGCTGAGATTTCGTCACACACCAGACCACAAGGACTGATAAGGCTTTCAAGATAAGTGAAGCGATCGGCACGCTCAATTACTTCACTCCCTATCATTAGTTCGGGTGTCAATGCAACCCAATACTGAAGCAACATTTTGCATTTCGAGGGGGAGAATCGCATCCCGAACATGCTTGCATTGTTGCTTAGAGTAGTCATAAGACTGCATTTTGTCAGCGTCTTCACCAAATAAAACTATGTCATCAGCATATTCTAAGTCAACAAGTGAACCTCCCGGTAGAAGTTCAACCCCTGGAAATTTAGATGAGGAGAGTGTTATCTCTAAAAGTACGTCGACCACAAAGTTGAACAAGAATGGGAGAGTGGGCAGCACTGACGAACACCACTTGAGGTAATCAATTCTGATGACAGTTCGCCATAAGCTCTCACTCGACCAGTTGTGTTCGAGTAGAGAGCCTTTATAAGGTTAATGTACTTCTTTGGTACTCCTTTCAGTGACAAACACTGCCATAGAACCTCACGATCAACGGAGTCGAATGCCGCCTTAAGGTCGAGAAATACTACCATTGTGGGGCGTCTGAACGTGTGTCTGTGTTCTAGAACCTGACGTAGTGTGAATATCTGGTCTATACATCCACATCCAGGTCGAAAACCAGCCTGATTTTCTCTAGTCTGCTCTTCACGAGCTTTGGTTAGGCGTCGAAGTATTATTGAGGCTAATATTTTAGACATTATATTAGTCAAACTGATTCCTCTGTGATTGTCACAAGAGGACTTTTGTCCTTTCTTATAGACTGGCACAATCAGTGATTGAGACCAGTCAGATGGGATTACGTCCAGTTCCCAAATTCTACCTAAGACCTCGGTTAATCTAATTGCTAATACTGGACCACCATCCTTAAAGATCTCAGGAGTAAACCTGTCAGGACCTGCTGCTCTCCCTCGCTTCAGATTTTCTATGGCTTTTTCAACTTCGTAAAGAGTCGGAGGACCTACACTAACTTGCCATTCAGGTTGACTGGAGATCGTGGGAAACCGAAGTGTGGCTGAAGGCCAGTTGAACTGATCCCTAAAGTGTTCTGCCCATCGATCCAATCTCCTGGATTGAGAATGTATGGTATGTCCATCTTTCTCTGAGTGTTTCGCTAACAGTTGGTTTCCTAATACCGGTTTCCTTAACAAATCTGAACAATTGTCTGCTATTACCTATTGCCGCTGCCTTTTCCATCTCTCTTGCTTTCGCTACCCACCACTGTTCACGATCATTGCGTAGACTTCTTGTCAGCTTGCGCTTAAGCTGACTCCGCTCTTCATTATGTTCAGAGCCAGGTGGAATGAGTTTCCAAGCATCTATCAGTGCGATAGATGCTGCTGAGATCCAATGTTGCTCCCTAACCTTACGGGTTACCGTACTAGCAGATATCACTGCTGTTTCCACAGCTTTTCGGATATCATTCCATGCTGCCTCGGGGTGGGCATCACATACATGGCTGCCTAACTGTTTCCCTAGTTGTTCCTGAAATATACTCTTAGCTTGACTATCATTAGGTAGGGCCCCAAGAGGTTTACTTGCAACATCTTTCCTACGTCCAGTAAGACGCAGACAGATACGCGCTCGTACTAGAGCATGATCTGAATCTAAGCATGTGCTCCAGAATGAGCGACAGTCTTTTATCGAGCCCCTCCATCGGTGGCTGAGAGCGATGTGATCTATTTGGGTCCAACGTTGGGACGAATTAGGGGGTCTCCATGTTAAAAGATGTTTAAAGTTAGTATTTGCAAGGAACAGGTGGTTATCTTAACATAGCTGCAACAGACGGTCGCCATTATCTGTTCTTTGAGGCACGATGCTATAAGATCCACCCAAGTGTCTTTCCCCATCGCTTAGTTTACCTACTTGAGCATTAAAGTCACCGGCCACTATTACTACATCCGAGCGCCTAGCTTTTCGGAGAAGGTCGGAGAGCTTTCTGTAAAACTCATCTTTTACATCATCTGAGCTGCAGTCAGTGGGAGAATAGGTAGAGACGTCGAGTGTCCCTATCTTTTCGGATCCTTACTGTTCCGTTTAGTCGGACAGCGCACAAACGACTGTCTACTGGGATCCACTTTAAGAGAGCTAGTTCTGCCCTAGGACTCAATGCTATGCCTACGCCGGCGGGGCCACGGGAAGCAGAATCAGGGCTTCCAGATACACGAAGCGTAAATCGAGTCGGTTCTTTATTTTGGCATGGTGAGGTCAAATGAATGACGCTACTCGGATCCTGTATGCGCGTCTCGGAAACGCAGCACACATCGATGGCGCGAGATTCTAAGGTCCTAGCTAAGGAAGCCTGCTGTCCTATTTGGCAAAGTGTTCGTACGTTAAAAGCTACTACGTGTAGTTTAGAGCGTGGTTTCAGGAGAGCAGGAATAGAGTTCCACGTACTCGAATCGTTTGCCCTAGCGGTGCGAGGTGATAAAGAGACGTGAGGAGGGTTAGTCATGGAGATAAGAGAGGTATTAGGAGGTATCTCGTGTGCTGTTACGGGTATGAGGGCTGTCACTTCCCAGCTGCCCACACTGTGGAAGGGTATTTCTTGAGGAACCTGAAAATGAAATTGGATTAGTGTTGGTCTTAACAACCTGGGAGCGTGACCACAGAGCCCAGGGGACAACTGCTTGAGGCCGGTCGCGCACGGCCTTTTTGTGGGAGGTTTTTGACGTGTTAGCTCCGTTCTTCAAAGGGCCTTACCGCCGGAGACGGAAATCCGTGAGGTAAGGTGAGGTGTGACATTTTTAGGGTTGACCTTTTCTAACCCCTTCCTTCCTTGTGGGAAGGCAGCATCGCTGTAGATGCTGGTTGTCCGAGGGAAACACCTTACTGCTATCACACCCCTCTACAGTCAGCAGTACGACTTCGCCCTCAGACCTTGAGTTGCTACTTTTAGTCTTACCGTCCTCCAATCGACCTGCCTGGCATGGCAGAACCTACAGGAACATATGTTCCAGCCAATATAGCTCGGTTGGGTCATCACGATAGGCAAGCCCGACCACCGCGTCAAGGTAGCAGCTTTGGTCGGGTCCGTCTTAATGGTGAATTTGGACATTCATACTCGAGTACTCTCGAAGATAATTTACTAGTAACCTTTGTCTAACACGGCTCCGAAAAAGTCGATAACTTCGAACCGGTGCAACATTTTGAGTTACCGATTACCAGCTTTCTTTTAATGCCTTCCGTATGTTAACGGTACGATATTACCGTACTAGCTAATGAAACCTAGTATCCCATCTGAAAGTGTTCAAACAATGAAAGACAGATACATTGTTTAGACCTCGACCTCAGAAAATTAGGGATAACGTTTACCAACCTAAATCCCTGGCATCAGTTTGAGATAAACGACACGAGTGAGTAGGTAAAAGTGCAGAGTTACAATACCTTAGATTTCCATACCGTCGAAACTTCTTTTTAAGGTGTCTGAAAAGGAAACCAGATTAATAGTGGACTTGGTGAGGCGAAATTGACAACTGCTTGAGGTAGGCCAACAACACTAAATAAAGTGTGTCGGCACCACTACCACTTGTGAGTTGCAAAAAAGAGCGCATCCGGCCTCTTGTTAAGAGAACCACCAGTAGTTTTTTAGACGCAGTCGCATTTCAACTACAATGAATAAGTAGTGTGGTAACCAGTTTTCCGGACTGATTGGATTGCTACAAACTGACCCCTGTAGTACGACAGGATACAAGTGATATTTGGAATTTAGTACAAGAATAATTAGTTAGTCGTAAATAGAGTAAAAGCCGTAGCATGTGCATTATTTCGGTCATCCACACTACATCAACATATAATGAGATGACCAAGGCTAATGCATTATGAAGGCAGTAACTGTTTCAAGGACATTAGAAACTAAGCATAGAGAATCGAGAACAAAAAGCGGATCCATGGAATAAAAACCTATGCGACTATCCTACAACTCGTTTAGAGGTAGGCAAATAATGAACTCAAAGTCGCCACAGAATAAATCCAAATAACTTGACATCTTCAAACGCTGGTCACTAAAATTGCAAGAACCCCTAATACGTAGTCTGAGCCTACCAACACAACTTTTACGAGCGGATCCCATGTCTGACCATACCTAGTTCTTTCTACTTCTACACTGGCGAACATTGCCCATTGCAATGGACAGTGTTTAGGGGCATGTCCAAACCATCTCGGTAGACGACGGTTCAGCACATTGCTAATTGACCTGCCATCTGTAACCAATACTCAGCACCCGTCAGTACTGCTTGCCTGATGGTCAATACATGCAAGGATACTGCTTCAGGGTCATCCATGGTCTAATACGAGTGACCTATAAATACCCATCACATTTTGAAGGCCGTCTTGGAGCCCTAAAGCAGAGCTGTGACGTAGACTCGTCCTTTGGTTAACAAGTGGATATTTTGCCTACGCCAAAGGTAACGCAAGTTGTCAAAACCAAGCGAGTTTACTGAAAGTGTTGCGATTTTTTGGACCTCAACTTATCATACCCGACGATATATCAGAGATAAGTGAAGTGGCCAATATGAACAACTGACTTATTACCTGGGACCAATTCAGGCGCTGACGAAACACTGGATCTATACGGCGGGGAACGCTTGGTACAAAACGAAAACTTTTGTAATCTTTACAGACAAAACAGTTCACATGTCAATTAAAACTAGACCACCGTGAAAAACCTGGAAGCACGGGACTGCCGTTTCGTTCTAGTATGGGACTCCTGTTTTCATGTCGCAAATCTCCCATATTACAGTGAAGGCGTCTAGCGGGCACTGGGAATGGTGAGTAAATTCCAGATTTTGACCAAAACATATCAATACATTTGCTTTAGAAGTTACGCAAATGTGGTTAGTCGACTGAAAATTATTCCGAACCTCACCAGGTAAATAGAACAGAAACTTGTCAAACAGAAGTGAGGCATCATTCAAGAACAATTTAATTGAAATCGCCAAAAGATATGAGAACATTTACGTGGCCTGTAAAATGTCCACTCAGGTTTATGATCAGTTTGACACAACGGAAAACAAACCGTTATTTTACAAAATACAAAAAGTGCTAGACATTAAGAGCCTTAGATGGCTTAAAACTTAGTAAACCAAGCCCAAAACAAACGAAAAACTAAAGATATAAAAGATCACAAAATATATAGTTATGTTCCAGGGAAATAACATGATAAACCCCAAATATACGTATATACACCGTGCTAGGAAAAATTCTGCAAGCAGAGTTCATACGAATTAACGCGGACAAAGTTAGGAGTTGAAAATGCGAAACTAAAAGAAATAGGAAATCAGTGGGAACTATTAACCACAACTTGAGGCCTGTGGAGGTATTTGTGGGGAATAGGGCGGTTAAGGAGTTTTGCTACAATAGGGTAATCCTCAGTATTGTGAGTCTGGGCATTGTCATTAGAGCTTAAAGAGGGATTAATTTCCGATACTGGAGTAAGCAGGAGGGAATCACCAAACAAATTGTTAGACTTTTGATTAGATGTTTGGGCATCAACATAAGCATACCCATGGTAATTTTCTTGCGGACTATGCCAGTACGTTTCCGGAGGTGAGTGATCACCAGTGGAGAAGCTTTCATCATGACTTTCGGGTTGAGGAGACAAGTTAAGAGCACCACCCCCCTCAATCTGCTCAATTGCCATCACCAAATGTTCAAGTCGTGCAGCAGTATTGCTTGTGCTGTCAGGCTGAGGAGATGCTGAACAAATCGATGTGCTACTATTGAATGAAGTAAGTGGGGATGACTGGTGTGTATCGGTGCTTTCAGGAGAAAAGTGGACGTAATTCGTGCGAGATGAATCGTATATGCCTTCAACCTCGACTCGTCGACGTCGATTCCGCATACAATCCGGCCGGTCCTCTGCAAAAATAAGAACTTTAAAGGATCTCATACTTACTTAAGTCATCAGATTTGCGTTTTCTAGAAGTCACCGTTGAACCAGACAACTCTGACGAGACTGGATTCAGTTGCAAACCAGCTGACTGTCGGTACACAGCTACTTCGCTTTCCAGTAAACTAACGCGCATGAGTAGCGTGTTGATATATTTGGCGGTCAGTTGTAATATTGTCGCCTAACCGAATAAGTGTGAAAAAAGTTAGTTACCTTGCTCATCTTTTCTCCGTCTGATATGGATGGCAATAGGATACGGAGAGAGTCGAACCCCGCGTTGATACTTTGCATCCGCCGTCGCTCATTGCTATTGGCAATTTCCCTACGAACTCTCTTTTCTTGATCATGATGACCGTGAGCGATAACAGCTGTGTCTCCAGAGGGTCTACGTATAAGATTAAGAATAGACAGCCAAAGAATTTTAAAACTTCGACATAAATCACAATTGAGTTAGCATACAATCACTTAATATAACTAACTATCATATCAAAATAAGTAAAAAATGTATTAGGGAGCCTGTATACAGAAATTCTAAACCATAACTCAAAAGCAATATGGCGTCACGTGAGGAAACTTACCTTGAAGATTTTTCACAACCATCAACTGGCATTTCAGAGACGAAGAGCTTATTTTCCATCAAACATCAAATACACTAACTCTTCAGGCACTAATTATCTAGAGAATTAGGAGTGACGACGTTAACAATATCCAAAGATTGTAAGCAAGTTGCTACCCACCACGTCTACGTAGTGCGTACGTAGCGCGCACAAGATGGCTGACGTAGCGCATTTTTATGTACAAACAGTGAATTGAAGAAACCATTTATCATTAGCCTCATAATTCCAGTAATCGCACTTTAATTCTCAGTAAAGTTTATTTTGAGCCGCCCTTATGCAACAAGCCTAGGGTTATCATTCAACAACCTGTAGTCTGTAACCAAACGAATTCAGGGAACCTTATGATTTTCTGGCCTAAGGAAAGACCTAATCATAACACTAAATTCCATGGTTCTTCCTGCTCACATGACGGCATGCTGACTGACTTCACGAGGTGTCACAGCGATAAACCTACACGTAATTTAATTAAATTCAAGGAAACCATGTAGTGGTAATATATTACCTTTAATGAATAATGTTCTTGGAATTTAAGTATTATAAACATATGATTGAAAGTTCAGCAAGAAATTTGTCGGCCAGTAGGATTTATTTAGTTTTGGCCAATCGTGTATGATATTCAGTGTAATGATTCATTCTGTTTCCCTTTATCCAGTCTCAAGGTAACAGTTACCGTTGGTTAGGTTTTGTGTTTATGTCTGCATTTTTTTATATATGCCATGTATATTATTGACATTATCGCGGTACGATATTAGTTTTCTTTCTTTCGTTTCAGCAACTTTATGTCTCTTGACGCACGGCAAATATTCCTTGTTTGAAGAGTGCGAGGCCAGTGACGCGTTTTTTTAACTGGACTTCCTTTCGAGTTTGTATACATTTGACGAGTTGTATGCTTTGTTAAACCACTTAATAATGGATAACCCCAAGTATCATACATTATTTTATATCTTTCAGTAAAAAACAACTTTGATAAGTATTTTCCTTCTCATCAGTACGTCACTGCATCATTTTTCCCTCCTTATTCACCTGTGCTATTGCGTCATTTAGTTCTAGGATAGTCTCGGTCAACTCAATCAATATTTTCGGGCAAACGACTCCATCATTGGTTCGTCACATGGTAGTGCTTCGAAAATTTTCTATAATCACTTCAGCAGTCCAGAGAATCACACATCTTGTTAGTTCAAGCAACTTTTATTCAGTTTATTTGTCTATACAGTAAAAACGTTCTTAACAACCTTGAAATAACCGGCCTGTTGGTCAAAAATGGAATTAAGGGGTGAAAAAAATTCTCATGGAGTTAGTCTTGTTGGAAATATCGTGAGAATACTTAACAAAATACAGCTATGTAAGTCAAAGTTTCGAGGTTTTATGCCTAGATTTTCAGTGGTTTTATATGAAGTTGGACAAAACACTTATTTTTTTATGATCAGTCAGCTACACCAAGGATCAGTGAATTAGTGTTTAAGAATACTGAGCAATGGGAATGTCTGGGTCGTTATAAGAGAGAGTTATAACAGTGGCGACGAGGATAAAGGAAAACACATTTAAGATGTCGACATCAAATAACCATCTCAACTGTATACTAGAACAACGGCAAGCACAACTTGAAGCACAAATGTGGTTGTTATAGATTCCAACACAACATCTTAACATCCACTGCTCGAGTTCACATGCTATTTCAAGTACTTCTTGCGATGCAGTTGCTAGTTGCATCCCAGAATTCATATATCATCCTGAAAGTAGAAATACCTTTCTCACATGGTTAAAGTGTTTGGAAAATACGTATAGAATAAAATTCTGTAAACAAGATGACGCGTGGAAGACTCGATTGTTGATATTTGAGTTGGGAAGCGATGAACATGCACGTTATCCTGACCATGTATTGCCAACGTTACCCTAAGAGCTCACTATTGAGGAGACTTATTGTCCGAGACGTCCTGTACCATATACTGCCATTGAACTAGTCAATCATGAACTTAATTGTTTGCAACAAGTTGGCGATATCATAGTTATGGGTTCAACTGACAATGAGCTTTCTGATCGACTACATCAAGTCCTTGACCGAGTGTTGGAGTATGGTTTCCAACAATGTGGAGAAAAGTGTATCTGCTTCATGCACTCGATCAAATACCATGGTTTCATCTCAAATAAGAACGGTCGCGGACCAGACCCTGCCAGCAGTGAAGCCATTCAGAAGATGCTCGCACCAACTAACGTCTCTTTTTTTAAATCCTTCTGAAGATTAATCAGTCATTACAACACATTCTCGCTTGAGATGCATTGAGATGAGGGGTCCCTTGAATGAAATACTATTGAAAAATGAACCTTGACAGTGATTAGGAGAATGTCAAGCGTTTTTCAACAAAGTCAAACCAATGCTCAACTCAAAGCTTCTTTTAACGCACTTCGATCCCAGATTGGGACTTGTTATTGTATCTGATGTATTTAATCATGGAGTTGGAACAATGATATCTCACATGTTCCCGGACAAATCAGAAAAGACAATTCCTCATGTTGTTAGATCACTCACTCCAGCCGAGCGGAACTACAGTTAAATTGAGAAGGAAGCATTTACAATCACTGTTACTGTTAAATGATTCCATAAGATGTTCTATGGACGTACGCTTGCTGTACTGACAGACCACAAACCTTTGGTTGTAATCTCTGGTCCTAAGAAATGAATCTTTATAAATACGGCTAACAGATTACAGCGCTGGGCAACAATTATTTTGGGTTATGATTTCATTATCAAGTGTCAGCCAATAAATATTATCGGTAAAAGCGACTCTGTCTCTCGATTAATTGGAGTTCAACATCCTGGACAAGAGGACATAATCAGTGCCTCCACAGCAGTAGATCCAGAAATACGGAGTATAGTAGCAGATGCCATTTGAAAAACACTCCGTTGTCGTCAAATGATGTCAGAGAAGAAACCCTTCGAGGCTCAATCCTACAAGAAGTTAGAAAGTTCCATCTTGAAGGGTGGCCCTCGAAGATCAGTTCCACAGAGTTTCAACGGTTTTAACAACGTAGACTCTCTCTCTTAGTCATCGACGACTGTCTGTTGTTTACGGAACTCGTCATAATCCCAAAGAAGCTGCAAACAGCAGTACTTGAATAGTTGTGCACAGGCCATCCTGGAATAAATCGTATGAAAGCACTAGCACGAAGTTATGTATACTGGCCGCATATAGACACTCAACTGGAGCAGCTATCCCGTTCGCATGCCGAATTTGCATTAGCAACAAAAGCACCGCGGAAAGCAGGGCAGCAGTCATGGCCAATACCACAGTCACTGGGGTAATGTATACATTTGAACTTTGCTGGTCCACTTCACTGACAAACTTATCTTCTGGCAGTTGATGCATACAGCAAGTGGCCAGAAATGTTTTCATGGAACATCCTGCTGTAACCTGCACAGTCAGAAAACTACGTCAATTACTCAGCCGTTTCGGAGTCCCAGAATTAATAGTTGGCGACAATTGAACACAGTGTACACCTGCCATAGTCTCAGAATTTTGTCGGCAAAACGGAGTCAATCATGTCCGAACACCTCCATTCCATCTCCAATCCAATGGCAAAGTGGAACGCTTTGTTGTCATATCTAAAATTGCTCTTCAAAAATCGAAAGCGGATGTTACCGCTGAAGAGATCTCCCAAAGGTTCCTGCTTATTTAACGCTCTGCACCGAATACTCAGACGATTAGCGGGGTCTCTGCAGCAGAAGCTGTACTTGGCAGAAAAATACGAACACATTTTGATGTCATCCGTCCTACGCCAGCTCTTGAGCCTCAACGAAACCTAATGATGGAGAAGTAGTTCACTCGACACCATGAGGCACAAAGACGATTGTTCATGGTGGGTCAAAAAGTACTTGCTAGGACTATTATGGAAAACATCCTACATGAATAGCTGGTCGAATCGTGCAAAAGAAACAGTGTGGTTTACGAGGTGTCAGCTGGCTCAGAATTTTGGGTGCGTCATGCTCGCTAATTGAGAGCGACTTCGATCGACATCAACGGAACTCGACATGGAATACCTCTTGATGTTCTGCCGGACGCCTTTGGAATCAAAACCTCTGGAACAGTCAGGTCAGTCTCTGTGTAAGCAGAGAGTGATACAACTTTTTCATTGCCTAGACGATGAATAAATGGAAAGAACAGGTCAGTCGCTCGGTTTAAGTTGGATCCCAGCACCAGATCCTGCGAATCTGCTCAAATGAAAGGTGTTAACGGGGCATAAATCGAAATAAAATACTTTCCGTGCACAGTCATGTTAGGGCACGCTGATTGTCTATCTCTTATCCAATCGGCGCTAGTAGATGCTTGGAGAACACTCTAGAATCTCATGTAAAAACTATAAATGTACTGAAATTTTTCTTATTGTGCTTCTTACTTCCACCTACCCTTGTTATTTGGAATATAATATCCTTTCTGTTCAACCGTGTTCTGATTTGAGGACTTATCGAGTGAATCACAAAGCAATAGGGATAGCTGAGTTGTAATAAGAGAAATTAAAACTCTGGGGTTGGTCAAAAACGAATTCGACCACGATACACTTAGAAATCGTTCGACCATCAAACAGCCCGTGGGCATCTTTATCGCAGCAACGACTGGCGTCCAACTGGTGACTGCTGTAGACTGAATACAAAAACCATTCCTGATCGTTGTCCGTTATCTCACATTCATGGTTTGACAGCTAGGTTGTTAGTTATAACTGGGTTTTCGAAGATCGGCTTGGTTAAGGCCTGTAACCGAATTCGCATGGCTACCGACAACATTTCTTAAACCACAATAGTCGTCACTTCTTTGGGACTCTAAGAATTTTCGCACGTGACTTTCGGTTTAAGAAATGCTGATTGAACTTTCCACCAGGGCACTGAAGCACTCATTTGTATCACAGCAGACGCATCCGACTCGGCAATCGAAGGAGTCTTACAACAGTTGAATAACCACACATGAAAATTTGGTTTTCTTCTTCAGACGGTTGCTAGACACCGAACTGAGGTATAACACTTTCGGTAGGGAACTCCTAGCCATGCGTTGTCCTGTTCGGCCCTTCCAACACTCTGTGGAAGACCGATAATTCATTTTGTTTACTGGCCATACACCACTCACCTTCTCTCTAAGTTTGTCTTCAGACAAGTATTCACCT